AAGAAAAGGTTCGCTTTTTCTATCCATGCTCAACTTTCCCCACGACGTGTCTCAGCTTACCCCGCCCATGGGGTAAGATGAGCAACGTGCAAGATGATTTTTGACGTAGCCTTTTCAGTACAAAAATAAGCGATATGAAACATTTCTGACCACCATTACATGCGCAAGTCACCACTCTGTCCATCCAACCCGTAAACGCAGAAAAATGATCAGTAAGTTAGCCTGTAGCTTACGAAAAACAAAAGGCGGCTCAACTTACCTCATTCTCTCCTACGTAACACAATTGAGGGCATTTTTTAGGCCATCACAGTATTTGTCAACAATTGTTGTTTGGGGGACTGGGGAGGGTGGTTACTGGCTCATAATCTGTCCCCCCCCCCCCCCCAAAAAAAAAGAGAGAAAACGAAACCGATCATCCGCGAAAAGAACTATTGAGCTCGAACCAAGATGAGGAATCGATTTATAGGTATGCAGGATGACTAACGATGCCACTTTTTGACTTCTTGTGTCAAATAAATTCCATCATCTGGATAGCATGTCAACATTCTATTTGACATTTTGCAACAAACGTATACTATTTGGCGCGACTAGCCTCATAAATGTTCTGAAACTAAAACCGTTTCTTCTCAATTAACTTGAACCACGTCATCCCAGCTTATGCACAACAAAAATAAAATAATGCTTCAGGATCACTGGTCTGAATTCCAATGCTTAAAGTTTACTCAAAACCGGTGTGGCTGCGGCACTCTTCGCTACATCTCGTGACGGCCACCATTGTGTTACATTTCTCGGTAAGCTATAAGTTAATAAGGAAAGGATTGGTGAGTGGGTTGAAAACAGCCCTCACCCTCCACCTCCCCCCTCCTTCTGGAAACATAAGTAACCGAAAGATCTGGCGATAGTTTATCCACCTCCTCTGCCGCCGCGCTGCGAGGCCTCGATTCGTTCGGTATGTGGCTTCCTGAGCGGTCCTCCCCGGAGGCAAGGTGAAAGGTCATGGCCTGTATCAGAAATTTATGCGTTGCTGAATATGTTTTATAGTTCTTCCAAGGCCTTGGACACCGTTTTATTATATCGGATAAGCATTGCAAATTCTTGTCAATCAATACATGTAAAGAAAACTTGATCATAATCTTATACTGCGGCAATTGTAGTTCTGCTTACGGTTGCCTCTTTATGATACGGGCCACCACCACCTCCACTGCGCTGGAGCTCTGGCGTTCTACCCCTCCCCGCTACGGACCGGCCCTCGGGCTAGGTGTGTTAGTACTGAGCGCAAACCTGTAGTAGTCACGTGACTTTCATTCACGTAGCGGGAACGGAAGCTATAGGCGATACCAAGGACGGGCTCTGGGGAGGCAACCGGCGCGGAAAAATAGCACGATTGTAGTTTTGGAAGAATATCTGTTGCGGTAAGAGGAATTATACAAAACATACGTCCTAGGAGCAAACATGTGTTATTCCTCCATACTTTGCACTACATTTCCTTTCTCCAATGGCCAGCACTTAGCAAATAATAGCGCAATTCTAAATTGGTAATATATGTGTACAGTAGCAACTGCGGGTCCCTGTACACGAATGTGCACGAATATGCAAGTCATCCTATGTCGCGGACCGATTCGGGATCTTTCTTTCACGGTCTTGGCATTTCGCAGACCAGTCGGTGCCCACCGCGCGACTTTTACGGTTCGTCACGACCGCCACGAATATTTCATGAAAAATGAAAATTTCGTGGCCGTTCGCCGAACTTATAATAAACGAACGTGATCGCCAAACACTCGCCGAGTCACCGCCGACATGTCGCTACGTGCGCCGACTTGTTGCCAAGGTATCGCCGACTATTCGCAACAGATTCGCCATTCATTCGCGATGTTCGCCGAATCATGGATCAGCTTCGACCCGCGCACGATTAGGGGGGCCCCCCACCCGTTATCTGCAAATCGGGCTCTGTCGGCGAACTGTCCGCCTCTGTCGGTGAACTGTTCGCCGATTTCCTACACGACGTGATTCGGCGACAGGGTCGTGGCCAAAATTCGGCAGTGTAACACGGCCTATTAATACTGCCGAATTTTGGCCACGACCATGTCGCCGAATCACGTCGTGTAGGAAATCGGCGAACAGTTTACCGACAGAGGCGAACAGTTCGCCGACAGAGCCTGATTTGCAGAAAACGGGTGGGGCCCCCCTAATCGTGCGCGGGTCGAAGCTGATCCATGTTTCGGCGAACATCGCGAATGAATGGCGAATCTGTTGCGAATAGTCGGCGATGCCTTGGCAACAAGTCGACGCACGCAGCGACATGTCGGCGGCGACTCGGCGACTGTTTGGCGATCATGTTCGTTTATTATAAATTGGGCTAACGGCCACGAAATTTTCATTTTTCATGAAATATTCGTGGCGGTCGTGACGAACCGTAAAAGTCACGCGGTGGACACCGACTGGTCTGCGAAATGCCAAGACCGTGGAAAAAAGATCCCGAATCGGTCCGTGACATAGGATGACTTGCATATTCGTGCACATTCGTGTACCAAAATTCGGCTTTAAGCCCTTGTTACACTGCCGAATTTTGGTACACGAATGTGCACGAATATGCAAGTCATCCTATGTCGCGGATCGATTCGGGATCTTTCTTCCACGGTCTTGGCATTTCGCAGACCAGTCGGTGCCCACCGCGCGACTTTTACGGTTCGTCACGACCGCCACGAATATTTCATGAAAAATGAAAATTTCGTGGCCGTTCGCCGAACTTATAATAAACGAACATGATCGCCAAACACTCGCCGAGTCGCCGCCGACATGTCGCTACGTGCGCCGACTTGTTGCCAAGGTATCGCCGACTATTCGCAACAGATTCGCCATTCATTCGCGATGTTCGCCGAATCATGGATCAGCTTCGACCCGCGCACGATTAGGGGGGGCCCCACCCGTTGTCTGCAAATCGGGCTCTGTCGGCGAACTGTTCGCCTCTGTCGGTGAACTGTTCGCCGATTTCCTACACGACGTGATTCGGCGACAGGGTCGTGGCCAAAATTCGGCAGTGTAACACGGCCTTTATGCGTCTTCACGACCGGTATGATGCTTGCAGTCACACATCTGACCAGTCGGACGAATTTCGAACCGTTCACAGTCACCGTTCCAAAAAATTCTCATTTGGGCTGAAGATGACACTCAAGAATAAGAAAGGATAATTTTCCACTCTCACATTTTGGGTGGCTAGAATTTTCCACTCAGACACCCAAGACAAATCGGAAGTTTGGGACACTGTTCACCAGAAATGTACATAACTTTTTTTAATTAAAGAAAATATCAGGGTTGCGCACTCACGCGCAGTGCGCTTGGGCTTTTGAGTCAATTCTTTTCCATGCGACACCAATAGGCTTCATGATCATTTTCAGAGATGTTGGGGTTGCTGCTACAACCCTCTTTTGGGGTTCCTGCTACAACCCACTTATATAAAGATGCACTCGTGCTGTTCACAATTCCTCCCGATCCACCCGACAACGCCCGATCTCTTCCGACCGCTTCCGAATCTCCGACTAATCGGCGAGCGATCCACTCAGGGCTCGCTGATTTTTAACATCCGACCGGCCGTAAGTTATCGTCCAAAGTTTTATAATCTGCGTCAATATTTTGTGCATACTTGTGCGATTTTATGTGCACTACCGGAGTATCACCGGTGAGAGGGTTGTGGGTCCCATGTCTCTCCTCTCTCTGAAGAGTCGGGGGGGGGGGGGTCGAGCCCCGTTTTTTTTTACATTTTTTTAAATGCCATCCTGACGTTTTTTGCAGAATAAAGTGGCCGAAATCTGGAGAGAAATCGAAAATTGGGGGTGGGTGGGCTATGGCTACGAAGGTCAGTCCATGTCGCTGCCCAAGTGGCCCACCAGTCAAAATTCCTTAGCCGAGGCCCTGCTGTAGTCTCAGCTCCGCCCCCACACCAAGGCCCCCCACACCAGTGTAACTGCCGACTGGTGTGGGAAGACGGGGAAGACGTTCGCCGTGCCATCTGGTGGCTCCAATGGAAACCCCAGTTGTGCCCCGCCATCTGTTGGCCGTAATTTAGACTTCGGTTCCGCGCTGTCAGTGCGTCCGCCACCTAGCGGTCGTAATGTGTGTGAGGAAATGTAACTTCGCTCTCTGGCCCCGCGGTCGCCGCCGCGGCCGGCCGACGAAGTGGCCGGCTGCCGCCTTTTTATAATAAATCCGCTGTCGCTGTTAATGAACCTCTCTCTTTACACCGGGGATAACTGGCGTAAAACATGTCCGTCAAAAATTGGTCACAGACAGGGGTGTAGTTATATCTCTTTGTGGGGGCAGATGCCCCCACAATCCTGAAATATGCCCCCACAATGATGAAAATGCACCCACAAGTCTTATGTTACAAACGCCCTTTCGAGATCACGGCGCCTTTCGCATACTCTAACGGCGTCTCCTGACCGCCTCGCGTTCATGGATAATATCAAGATTCTTACAGATAATATAGCGTTTTTAATCACTCGGCGCCCTTCTGGGAGAATGGCGCCCTTTTGACAGCACTGCGCCCTTCTCATGGTCTAACGGCGCACTCCTGACCGTCTCGCGACCTTATGTCTCTGTCCACTTTGCATCCCTTGACTGTTCGGCGCCCTTCTGGCCTCTCAGCGCCCCTGGATCATATAGCATTTTTAATCACTTAGCGAACTTTTGACAGCACTACGTCCTTCTCATGGTCTAACGGCGTCCTCCTGACCATCTCGCGCCCTTGCAGAGGTTCATTTTGGACGTCATAGGTCACTGACCTAACCAGACCTGAAAATGTAGTTGGTAAGTCAAGACCCGGATTGAATCAAAGGTCAGGCGAGCCCGACGAGGCGGCCCCGAGCCCGAGGCCAATGGGTGAATGTAGCATGTAGGTACCGAGGAAGTGGAAAAGCCGACTTGAAATCAGCGCCGCGGGCACCGCCGCCAGGGCTGCGGCAAATTGATCCCTCTCAATACATTCAGCATGGTTCTTAGTAGTTTCGAAGCAATATGGATTCGAAGAAATTGACCATTCAAAGGAAGCACCAAAACCCAAAGTGTCACGGGCTGATTTTCCTCTTTTCGATGCGTTGTTCGGTTGAAAATTTTGCCAAACTTCGGCTTGATATTAAATTCTTCGCCACTAAATTCTGTGTGAAAACAAATAACTAAATTTAATCCCGAGCTAGCTTTTATAGTTACACAAGTGCAATTTCAGCGTAAATTAGATATTTTCCATTAAACGGAATACGTCGACAGTTATGGTACTGACTACGCAAAAGGAGCCGGCGGCCGACGACTGTGGAAGAGGCTGCGGTAAAAAATACGTTTACAACATTGACGCCAGGGAGGGCGGCTTCCGACAAGACTTCGGTAACACGATCCATTCCAAGTTTGGAGCGGCGAACACCAGTGTGTACCTAGACCATCGATACACGCGGCAATGGGAGCATTTCCTTGGACGACAAAAGTTCACGTAAGTTCGTTTACTTTGAGCTTCAAAAGATGCAATCAGCTCCAGTTTGAGAACACCATGCAGTAGGTTCCTGCCCCTGGTAATGGATTTTATTTCAATTATATTTCAGCATCCACAACCTGTCGACGCTACAGTTCGGTTCGGCGGCGGACTTGCGCTCCGGCGAGCCGCGCGAGTGGGCCTACACGGAGAGACCCAACGGTGACTACCGCTACTACGAGCGGCGCCATTTCGGCGGCGTCACCGACAGCTACCTGGACAGCTTCACCAACCTGGACAAGACGGTGTACGGCCGGCTGTGTCCGCCGCCGGCGCCCTGCCAGTCCTGGTGGCTGCCCTTCTCGCAGGTCAACATACGGTGACCAGCCGCGGGCGGAGGAGAGGGACGGGAAGGGGGAGGGCAGGGGTAGCACGTGACAGGGTGAGTCAGCGGGGTGAACGCGCTGGAAGATAAGACATCGTGTTAGGAAAAGGTCACGCCAGTTGACACTCAGCTAAGACACTGTATTCCATTGTGGCGACGGTTACCGTCATTGCGTCAAAGTCGTATCATGTCTCAATTGCCGTCCGATTAAAATACTGACGCCTTTGGATGTCTTACACAATGCTTCAAATACCTTGCATTACTTTACATTTAAAAATGGTGAGATAATTCTGCATTCATCTTGTAACGATAAAGTGTAACAATTAAATATGTTCAACTGCTACCTACATGTTAACGTTAGCTTTATGTGCTAAGGGTTCACTGATCCTAGAAGTGCCATTTTTTATCCTTTTTGTCCATGTTGGTTGATAATGTACCTGCAATTATTACTTTTGTAACACTCGGCGTAATACACAATGTTCAACACAATATCGTTACCATTGCGGATAAGCAGAAAACGAACTCGTCATCAATATTAGTTACGGCTCATATTACTTTGAACTGCTGTTGCCGGAGAGATCTCGGTACTCGGTAATGCCGCTAATGTGCCTTCTACCATCTGTTCACGCATGTGTTTATCTCAGTCACCATGTCCAAATAACCACCCTGGTAACCGATAACCCAGCCCGTGTTACAGATAGCCGATTGACTTACAGAATAAGCGACCACAACAAAGCACTTGAACTCTTATAACCAAAGTAATCATGTATTTATCGTTACACTGAATACACTCTAGTACAAAAGTAACCAATAATGGCGGGTCGAGTCAGAAATGCCCTGAAAAGCGCGACCAGGCACAAAAGCAGAAAGCCCTTAAAATACGAATGCAGCGTGTCTCACTTGCTGGACTACATGTGTGATGTCGGCTGTGTGGCCGTTTATCACAGCCGACTGGACTGGGTTGGCAGTCTGCTGGGAGGGGAGTATCTTCACATGGGTGGCACGCCGATCCCACGGCGACCGAGCAGTCGGGGGTAGATGTGCTGGGTGACCCTCACCAGGACACGAGCCAACGGGGCCGTTCCGCTTCACACGAGTCAGCGGGACCGCTCCGCTTCACAGCAGGGTCAGAATGGGGTGCTTCTGAACCTGGGGAACCAATCGGAACTTGGTCAGACCAGGACGCGGGTGAAAAGTCACGACCTACGGGCACTGAAGACGGCGTGAATGAAAGAACAGGAAAACATTACCTACAACAAAGCCCTAAAATATAAGATGGGACACATGTACTTCTATCTTACAGTGGGATGGATCACATGGTTGTCAGGTCACTGAGGTGCGGATACATATTTACCGATTAAGTATAACAGCTAAACCGAGTAGTCCTAACTAATGCGTCTCGGAAGTCATGTGCCGTTAGAACACCCTGCCGGCACTCCCGTCACCTATTATCCAGCTGCCTGCAATAGCTGTTAATGGTTCAAACACGCCCCCACGACGGACACCGGTCGAGAGACTGACCTTGAGGCAGGTGCGGTGTTTGACGTCACACTTTGTGCCCTGCGGGCAGCAGTGGATGTGGTCGGGACAGCAGACGGCGTTGGCCTCCGGGCAGCACGCGTAGCCGCCAGAGCGGAGCGCGCAGCACGTGGCCGCCGCGTTGCAGCTCGTCTTGCCGTCGGGACACTTGTCGTCGACGGCGGGTGCGGCGGCGGAGCGGGCCAGCGGCACTGGGTGGCCGCCGCCGGAGCGCAGCCCCTCCGGCCGCCCCAGCCGCAGCAGGCGGTGCTCGCCGGGGCCCGGGATACACATACCCCGGTCCAGGTCACAGTGGAAGTCTGCACACACAGACACAAGGCGAGGGTAGAAGATAGCAATATGCAAAAGCCACTACTGACAGGAGACAATAAGCATAATTAACCCGGCCGGGCCCGGGGGGTAATCCCAACCACCGCAGCCCGGGGGGGGGGGGGGCGTTTTTCGCCCTCCTGTCTAACTCCGTAAATAAGGAAGCTACGGAAACAAAAGCGATACCAAACGAAAGGTCCTTACGAGACGATTCTAAAGCACCTAAAATTTTGACCTCAGGTCAATTTTCAAGGTCAGAAGTCAAGGTCAAAGGCAAAAACCGGCACATGTGTAGTGATCTCAAAGAAAGCGTTCTAGACGACGGCAGGATGCATAAAACCGGCAAAATTGGGTGTCAAAGGAAAGAAGAGATCTGAGAATTCCGAAAATGTGCTCAAAATTAAAGGTCAAGGTGCTTAATATTGACCTCAAACTTTGCACTTTTTCGTACATCTTGCGTGCTACCTTCCAAGATGTTTTGAAATGTTTTGAGGCTTATCAGGTCCCTATTTGTGGTTCATCTTACGATACAAGGCTGCTCAAATGTCAAGGTCACAGAAGAGTATCCTTTTTAGAGGCTATTTCACTGATTCAAGTTAGTAATAATAAACAAGACATCCGGAGGCTCTAAATGAAGGCTTAGACGAAAATAGATGCCAGATTCGTGATCAGCGGGTACGAATCCATCAGAAATGACCTTTCATGTGTCAAGGTCAACCAAAGGTCATTCGAGGTCACATGAGGTCAACATAAAACTTGACCTTTTCCAAACAAAATATATATCATTCGACGCGGCTTGACAAGGCGAATGCGATGGTACCACTGCCGTAGCTCTAGGACAATTTTTGTCGAAGTTATTTGCGAAAAACTAAAACCACAGCTCGGGGTCGTTGACCTGACCTGTGAACTCAGGTCACCAAAACTATTATTCTATTTTTCTCTAGGTCAAACGCTACACAACCGTGCTCGTAATTTGTCTTTATCTCTAAAACTCTATTTTTGGCAGCTATTTGAAGCTCGCGTCTGTGACGCCGAAGTTTGCCGTGCAGGGGTCTAGAAAAATCGACCCAGTGACGTCATCAATAGGGCTAGGTCCAAATTTTTTACTTCAGAAGATGTCAAATTGATGGGAGAAAAGGTACTGAAAGTTTCGCTTTCCTATCCCTAAGCGTTCGGGAGCTATCGCAAATATTCGCCAGGGGGGGGGGGCGAAAAACGCCCCCCCCGGGCCCGCGAGGGTTAACCCGCGCCCTGCGGCCGATTTCATAAAGGTTTGGTAGTAATTTACAACTAGGTGCATTTCTCACCCCTCAAAACTACAACCAAGGTTACAACCACACTGAGGGAGCGGTTTCATAAAGCTCGGAGGGCATAAATTTCGGCAGTTGTAGTTTTCTGCTTGCTTGAAAACTACAGTTTTCAAGCAAGCAGAAAACTAGTTGCTTGCTTGTAGTTTTCTTGCTTGCTTTGATTGCATTTTACTACCAACAGAACTTTAATAAATATTTCAATTCTGTGAATTATCAAAGTGTTAATATAAAATGACTTAATTGTTTTAATTCATCAATAATAAAATTAAATATGATGTTTAAAACAATAATCAAAAGGTAATCAGACAAAAATTTATTTGCTATTCTTACATTAGGAATTGTAAACAAAAACAATCGTCCAAGGCCATAGAGAAACTACTGCATTCATTTCGGCCGGCTGAATTAGGTTCAGGATATTGATATATAAATCCCTTTTGTACATTGATTGCTTGGGTGTTCATTTGTTTCTGATATATATGTTTCAGTGTTTGATTTATGTTTTATGTGTCCAAACGATGAGAGCGTCGCAGTGAAACAATACCTAAGCTGCCCAAGGTTTGGCCTTGTTGGTTGAGTTTCAGTTTGGTTAGAAGGCAGAAGGCATAGCGCCTCTGCCCTCTCCTTAGTTGCAAAAACGAGTGCGACGACTGCTAGTGCTGACTACTGAAATGTGAGTATTACATCAGCATCACTTGCCTCACACAGCTTTTGCTAATAGACGATGTGGGTATACTGGGTAATCCACAGCAACTGGTGTCAGTGTTCATGTGTTACTGTTACGACATAGTTGATGCAGCAATGCAAAGTATCTATGTACCATGAATTAACAACTCAATCTTCTGCCAAGGTCAGGGTGGCAACATGAATGGTTTTGAGTATAAGGATGATGAAACTATTTTAGGCTATGTCAATACAAAAGTGGACTAAAAAGTGTTTGTCATTCTGATTCCATAAAAGCATTTGCAATGACTCATTGGTAATTTGAATTGCTGTGTCTTTTGTCAAAATCTCCATGAATATTTCTATTGACAAAGTACACTGTACAGGTATTTTGCTTGTAGTAAGTACGGATACTGCTCAGGTGCTGTCACCCGTTTGTGCAAGAAGTCTCCAGACTTGTCAGTTCTTGAGATATTTACACAAAATTTGTTTAGAAAAGTCATCAAATAGTCTAACAGAACAAAACATGCCTTATCTAATCTAACCTGACCCAACTTTACCTTATGGCTTATAACCTACAACCTACCACCTACCAACCTACCACCCAGCAACCTACAAACCTACAACCTACTGCAACTTTTGGTGAAATTTGTATAAATATATGTAATATAAAAATAGACCTTGTACCTATACTTTATTACCTAGGGTAGGTATGGTAGGCAGTTTCCCATAATTTGTTGATATGGGAGGGAACATGCAAACATTTAAATAAAATCTTTTTGCACTAATCTCTGGCTTTTGAGAGCAAGTTTCCACTTTCAATTTTACCAAGGAAAACATTTGCATGTCTAGTCATTAGTTGTATGGCTGTATTACAGTGATGTATTGGGGAAGAAGTTAACAAAACGTGATAGCATTGTTAGTGCATTCAAAGATCTAGTACCGTTTGTCATTAGATTGTAGGTTAGTACCTTTGTTGACATGAAGCTAACAAATTAAACAGGCTGGCATTTTAAACAGACTGTAACAGTCTTACTGCCATAATTGATTACAGGCACCGGTTGTTTTCAGTCAAACTCAAGTTTTGAGGCAAACATTTCACATTTTTTATTGTGTTTCAGTTGTGCTAATTGTGTTCCAGCTTATAAGGTCTTCAGAATGCAATTAAATGTAATGCATGTAATGCACGCATGTTGCAGGTGGCTGACGAGCACCAACCAGCGTGTGCAGCAGCCGTTCCGTTGTAAACGGTGCGCTGACCACGGAGCCGGGGGTTGTCGACCGCCGGCTGGCACTCACCACCGTCCACCCCAAGCTGGCCATCATCGACTGGCTCGAGAACACCAGCACGCTGAACCAGTTCATCAGCTCGACGTGCCCCGACTTCGAGCAGCAGTGCGCTGAGACGCGCGAGCTGTTCACTGGGAGCAGATGAAGCGACATGGGACTCAGAGCGGCGCCACTGACGTGCAGCTGCAGCTGATCGGAATCGACAGGACACGTGTTCGCGGCTCGGCCACCACTCATCAGCCTGCTGCTCCTGCCGTTCCGTCTGACGGCGCCGATGACCGGGCTGGCGGCGTCTCTCGACGCGTCCGGCCACACCCGGCTGCAGGCGCTGCGCTCGTCGCTTTGGGTTGTAAATGCCGGCGAGCAGTGAGGGTTGCCTCGCTGAGTCGTGTGGGCGCTCCTCACTGTAGAGGTCGCTGTGAGCGCTGTGCTCCTCTTCGATCAGAGGATAGGTGGCGGTAGCGGTCGGTACGCAGCCAGCAGCGTACTGACACGTCATAGACCGATTGAAGGTCTTCAGTGCGTTATGAATATGGTGCGGGTAGCTCGATTCCGGCGGCGGCGTGACACGGTGACCCCGTGACCTCTAGCCGTGTCGGTCCGTGTGCGCGGCCCATTCGCCCCCGACTTGGGTTGTCGATGGTGGCTGCCGGCGCCCTTAAAATCGTACGTGTTTTAGACAAAAAGGGAAGACTTTAGTGATAGTGATGTTAAAAGGTATAACTTATTTTTCTAATGATTTTATTGCGTGCTTTGGCTGAGTGTCTTGATTTAAGTTTGTTTGCTTTCAAATTTACGATAATACAACAGCACAGGGTCAAAAGGCGGTTAAGACGTAGAACAGTAGCTGTTACATTGGGCTTTGTACGCGAGCCAGCCGGCCGAGTGATTACTGCGCGCGCACGCGCCGTATAAGAGATACTGATTCGGAGATACTGATTTCCAAGATCGTCGAGCGCCAAGTTCTGCGATGGCAATATCTCCTGAATATAGTGAACACTGAACACAGCGGCAGATGACAACGCCTTGACAATTGTTTTCGTCGTAATACGTGCTACTCAAAGAATGCCACGAAGGTGTGTCGTTGCTTTATTTGCTAGTCCGCACATCTGAGATCGTTTGAGACAAGTGTTTGAAGTTTAACCGGAATCGCTCTGATAGCTGCGGTGCAAATTCCAACAGCTGTTATTCTACTAATGAAAAGGTAATTATGCTATTGCTGGCCATGAATTATGAATAAATCACAAATTTTGTAAAAGCAAGGATTGTTTTCGACCGGACCATAGCACACATTTTCAGAAATTTTGGCGGGTGGGGTAGGAAAGGGACGCAGCCGGCCGCTGACTGCACGTTCAGGTGCGTCGTGGCGTTGCTGATGAAGTACACCGTGCATATGTTTATCACCAAGAAATTCATGCATTGTGATATAAAATAAACAATGAAACAATTCCAAACGTAACCACCCAGACAGACGCCGATCCGCCCCCAACATGGCAACACACTAATAATTTCCTCGAAACTCGCTGAAGGCGACTCGCCCACCATTTTGAGCAATATATGCCCCGCTGCGGAGGCGAATCGTTCACTCGCCCAGTCGGGGACGCAGCCGGCCCCATCACACAGTGTCAGACACTGAAACGGTTTAATATAGGCGGTTTTGCACAGTCTGGTCCAACTATTATGGGACGCGCTTGCCGCGGGCGCCGCAGTGCTGGCACACGTGCAGCGGA